GATCCATGCTTTTTCATATACACAAAATATGTATTTCATTACTTCAAACTTGAAATATAAACTAGATTTACATGCAAGATAGCCAAAATAAAAACATACTAGTGCAACCTAGATACATATTGATACAGATAAGCTAAAACACATAAGGGATAACATGGTAGAGAAGGACACATTAATTGGTATGAACATTTCCATCACCAATCAAATGATTAATACTATCACTAGGATCAGCAAAGAAGTCAGAAACATCAAGGTGAGTAATATCAACAGGCAAGTCGTCATCCATAAAATTCATTCCAATTTCTTTTTCTTTTCCTTTATCATTCATTGAGGCACGGTAAAGATCAACTAGATGTTTTGGCGTACGATAGGTACGCGACCGATGACCTTTCATTCCACATCTATAGCAAGGCTTGTCATCATATATCTCAGGAGCTTTGTTCTGCAAAGCTTTTTCTTTTACCTACTTGGTATTTGAATTCCACTTCTGGTGGGACGGTGTGGAGTTCTTTCTAGGAACCAATGAGGAATTATGACCACCACGATTATTATAATTATTTCTATTGCGACCATATCCATGACCACCACGACATCCGCATCCACGTTCAAATCTATGGCGGTGAAATGATGACATATTCGCTTCTGGGAATGGTACAGATCCAGTGGGACGGGACTGGTGGTTTTGTATCAAAAGCTCATTATTCTGTTTAGCCACCAACAAACAAGAAATCAGCTTAGAATATTTGGTAAATCTGCGCTTTCTATATTGCTGCTGCAAGAGCACATTTAAGGCATGAAATGTGGAGTATGTTTTTTCCAACATATCATCATCAGTGATTTTTGCTCCACATAATTTCAATTGTGAGTTGATTTTAAATAAGGCTAAATTGTATTCACTTACACTTTTAAAATCCTGCAATCGCAGGTGGATCCAGTCATAGCGAGCTTTTGGAAGGATTACAGTTTTCTGATGCTCATATCGTTCTTTCAGATTTTTTCACAGTGTAAGTGAATCCTTAACCGTGAGGTACTTTGTTTTTAATTTCTCATGGAGCTGATGGCGAAGAAAGATCATAGTTTTTGCGCAGTCCTGCAGGGACGCATTATTTTCTTCCTTAATTGTTTCACCGAGATTCATGGCATCCATCTGGATCTCGGCATCAAGGATCCATGACAAGTAGTTTTTGCCCGAGATATCAAGTGCCACAAATTCAAGCTTGGTAAGATTTGACATTATGAACTATAAATGATAAAATAACATAATTAGAATTATTTCACAAAAAAGAATAATCAATTTGAGATTATAAAAATACTGCAGTCACTGTAATGTGATTTGTCAGTAAATATATAATGTCAAAAGTTAATCATGTGCTTTCAGTAAACAAAACAATAACAAAAAGACAAAATATATTTACACTAAAAGGCACATATAATTTATATTTCTAAGTTTTGCAAAACTTCAGGTTTGTAAGGGTACTCAGTGTAAATGACTTCAGGTCAAAGAATTTCAGATTCATTTAGACTTCAGGCTAACAATTTTTGCGAAACTTCGGGTTTGCAAAGAGTACCAAATATTGGTGAAACTTCAGGCTCACAAAGAGTATATTAATATATGCAAAACTTCGAGTTTGCAAATTAAATAATTTAGTATTTGCAAGACTTCGGGCTCAGCAATTTACTTTTCAAGAATGGACAAAAATATTCTAATATAAATAAATAAATAAATAGTTGCGAGACTGCAGGCTCAACAATTTTAATTATATGTAAAATTTGAACAACAACAGTTTAATATAAATAATTAATTTTCTTACCCTTTGAAATGAGAAAGAAAAATAGAATTTTCTTCTCAGTTGACAGAGCCTCGTGCTGATAACGTGTATTGAATGTATATGTATCTGTATAGTGTAATAATATTCAGAAAGAGAGAGAAAATGAAAGAGTGAGAGAGAGAAACTTTTCTTAAGTCTTGTATATCACCAGTAGTACATGTACATTGCATTATATATATAAGCTCAGTTTTGGCTTCCCTTATAAGCCATCTTTCAGTGTAATGAAATAAGTCCTCTGTACGCCATTAATACTCTCTTCCTGTGTAAGCCTCAATGTGATCTAATGGGTGACTTAATCTTTTGAGGACCCCACACAATGATATATGCATATAACAAAAAGAATGTTGTTGAGTCAGTCCTACTAGAATTTTCATCCAATCGGGAAACATGATTACATCCTTACGCTCTCATTAATTACAGGACGTACCATTGATTGGAGATGTGATGTTGTTACTTGTTTAGGCCAATACCATTTTGGCGATACCCAAAAAAAATCGAATTTTGGAATGGGCCGCCAAATCCAGCAACTCAGCCCGTGATTGTCAAAATGATTAGGTCAAAAAAAGAGGGCCCAAAATATTTTTGTGAAAAAAAAGGCCCAGAGCAATGGCTCTATAAGGGTCTGTTTGAGTCACAAAAAAAAAAAAAAAAAAAATTTCAATTTTTGTTTTTTGTTTTTTCTCTAAATAAAACTGAACTTAAGAACTGTTAAGGCACTGTTTGGCTAATACAACGATTTTTAGACCAAAATAATGTAGTACAAATTTAAAAACATATTTTGGTATTTTTTTATTTATGCACAACACTACTCATAACTGACACAAAAAGTGTCTTAAGGGCTATATTTGGCCGAAAAACAATTCATCTTCTTCAATGACGCAATGCATACTTATTTGTAGCTCAAATTCTTTTATACTCCTAGTTATTACAAGTTTGAGAAGAGCTAGATATACGCAATCTTATCTTCATATGTGAAGCTGTAACAACTTTTTAACCAGTGCTCAATCAAAGATGTAATGGAACATATTTTAAAGAAAGTGTAAAGACAGAAGGAAAGATTTTGGTTTATCCAAAGGGAAGCCCTGGCCTTCAAGTGCTATCATTAGCCAAGGTTGAAGGAGAGAAGGAACAAAATTTTGATTTTTTTACTCACTTTCAGAAAAAAAAAAATGATTAATGCATCAGTTTATGATACTGGATTATTGCACATAAATATCACAGGCTTGTCAAGTGGTTAATAGGGTGAGAAGTACAACATCTCAAGGCAATAGATAGACAACAGGAAGAGAAAGAGAGGAAGTGATGCTCTTAAATCACTGTCCTCTTGACTTGTCAGGCACACACTATATATATATATTTTCCATTTCTTCACCAGTGTTGTCATTTTTCATAGGAAGGGTAAATTACCAGCATCTTCTTGGTGTTCATGTGGAGTGCTTGTTCCATTTGCAATTGCTGCTAAACATAATTTGACAAGAAATACGCCGGAAAAGAGGAGAGAGGGGGGGGGGGGGGGTGGCGGAAGGGAAAAACTTATTAAAATTAGTTGTAAAGAAAAAATTAGATTGTAAAAAAAAAATCAACAAGATTTATAGTAGAACAATTTACAATGAGATTAATCATGATTTGAATATTGTTAGAAATTGTAAATGAAAATTGTTTGAGTAGTCATCAACAATAGATGCGTTGGACTGAACAGGTGTGATCATTGATTAGTTGTGGGATGAAAATATGTAATTCAAAACTAACATACATAACCTATTCAATGTGAACCATTGCAACCTATTGCAGTGGGTGTGTCTGCTGATGAATGAATACATATAAATTGTTGTGTCCAGTGATGAAGAGATACATATAAATAGTTGTGTTCAATCATGAAGAGACACCCAATCTGAAAAAACCCTTCTATTTCTATAAATATTCCATTGGGCTGCTATTTGCAATTCGTTTATTCATTTTTCTTCTTTCTCCTTCTCTAGACTTAAACCCAACCCAAGTGGGTTCAAACCATATGTCAAGTGATTCGAGCCACTTAGACCATAATCTAATTTCACTGAGCCATATTAAAATTGGTCTGAACCATTTGGTTCGGATTGTATTAAATTCGGCATTTATATAGTATAGATGCATTTTTAATTAGAGAAAGTATTATACGAAGGAGGTTCGTCGTATCCACGAGTTTGTAGTGCTGCTACTAGTAAATGTTGACCGTTGTATTATGGGAGACAAACGTCATAGAGTCTGTAAGCATCATGCGAAACATAAATTGTTTTAAGGATATAGTATCTAATACTAACCTTGGTCAAGGTTCTTTATTTAGTATTATTATTATTTTATTACTTTAATTTGAATGTTTAATTAAATATTGAGTTAAATATTTAATTAATTATTTTTAGTATATTATTAATTATCTTATAGCATATTAGTATAAAGTTAGTTATATCTTAAATATCATATGAAACAAACAATTTTCAATAATCTTAGGATAATTTATTACTTGCGCATATTTTATTTATGCTTCTATTTAAGATATAAACAAATAGAGATTATACTAATATTTGAGTATTGAAATATAATAAAATAATATTATATTTATTATTATGTGATAATATGTTAAACATTGTGTAAAGATGTGAAATTGAATCATGTTATATAAGTAGACTATTAATTTATTTATATAATTTAATATTGGATAAAGTTATTAGAGATAAAATAAAAAAGTTAATCATGGTAGAAATGATGTGTAATAGTCTGATGACATGCAATAGAAATGAATGGGGAGCTATAGGCAACGATGATAATGACAATTACATCACCTTTAGTCAATTTTACTCTAAAAATGGAGTATATTTCAAAACTAATGTGCAGTTGTAGTAGCATAAACCAAATAACTAACTTAACAATTTCATTATTCCCCATAGAAAAATTATTAGTGTGATATTATTAATCAAGTTAATATTTGAATCCATTTCAATTCCCAAAGTAAATGCCTAAAAAATAAAAGCAATATGAAAACAACCGATGTATTTATATTCATTGTACACTTTTTATTAGATTAATTAGTTGTCCTAATTTTACCAACACCAAATGAAGTTAAGAGTTCAACCATTTTGGGCATACAAATATTTTAGCTCATAATATACAAAACATTTCAAATCTCCAAAAGATACATTAACTCTCAACTCAAATTATACCCTTACAAAATCAGATGAAAAGCACGCCCACTGTCACCCCCACAAAGCCTTCATTTCTCAAGCCGCTACAGATCCGTGTCAAACCTAAACAAGCCTCTACAACCGTGGATTAATTTTTAATCATTCAATCTTTTCAAAAGTGGGATCTATCCACGTGACAACGCTTTAATCAATTAGAAGTCATCGTTTCGGTTTTCTGAAGCTGTAAAGACCTTCAAATTTCATCTTAACCGATGCAGATCAGCGAAATTTACCGTCCAGTCGTTTCTTTCTCTCTCTCTCTGTCTGTCTTGCTATCATGGTGTCTGTGGCCGCCAAATCTGCTAAAGTTATGAAAACGAAGAAGCCGTCGGGTCCCAAGAAACCTAGGGCACATCCTCCTTATCTCGAGGTAACAGATCAATTATATATATGTGTGTGTGTGTGTATGATAAGTCTGATATGTATAAAATTTTGTGTAATTGATTGTTCTGATTTGTTTGTGAATTGGTTAGATGATTAAGGGGGCGATTGTGGCTCTGAAGGAGAGGAGCGGTTCGAGCCAGATAGCGATTGCGAAGTTCATCGAACAGAAACAGAAAAATTTACCACCGAATTTCAAGAAGCTTTTGCTTGTTCAATTGAAGAAGCTCGTCGCCGGCGGAAAGATCACAAAGGTCAAAAACTCGTTCAAGCTCTCTGTGGCGGAGAAGCCCAAGGCTGCAGCCACCACCGCCGTTAAGAAGGCAGCTCCGGCGAAGTCTAAGACTGGTGGTTCTGTGAGGCCAAACGCTGCAACTCCGTCTAAGGTGAAAAAGGTTACCACCAAGGCGAAAGCAGTGGCAAAGCCGAAAACAGTGGCAAAGCCGAAAAAGCCTGCGAAGACTGCGGCGGTGACAACGCCGGGGAAGAAGGTTCCGATGAAAGCTGCAAAGCCGGCGGCGGTGAAGGTTAAGAAGCTGAAGAGCATAAAGACGCCGGTGAAGAAAGTTACGACGAAGAAAGGGAAGGAGTGAGATTGTTGGGTTCGTGGTCAGGGTTAGGGTTAGGTCTGTAAATTTATTAATCGGTGGGGGCTTAGTTTGAATGACATATGTTTTCTTTTTGTTTTTTTGATATTTTTGTCTTTTCCTTTCCTTAGTTGTAGTTTGATTCGTTAGTGTGTGTTAAAAGGCTTTCTTTCTAAATGCAGTTTTAATTGAAGACTGAATCGTTTGTGTGTGTGATTCAAACGCTTGATGGTATTTAGAGTATGCAATTGCAATTTTCAAAACTTAAATTCCACATATGGGTCTTGTGTGTTTGGAATATAGGAAAGTTAGAAGAAATGGAAGGAAAATGGAATAAAAGAGAGTAGGAGTTTTGTTGGACACTTTGACTAAGAAAACGTGGAGTGTATACAGTTCTATTGGCTCGATTGAGTTGCAAGTAACGTAAATTTGGAATTCTAAAGATATGCTTTAAAAATTGAATTTCAAGTAAAAGTCCATGTCCAATGATTACGCAAAACTAGAGCGGCTTTATAATCTTACTAATATTTTTATTTATTTTCTTTTTGGGCAAAATGGAATTTATCACTTCATTTTTATCAAACTTCATTTTATTAATACACATTCAAACAGCTCAAAATTACAGCATTTTAGGGTATGAGTTTTATTGAGGAATAAAGTTCTCTTCATGGAAAGACAAAATTTAGATGAAAGGAGATTTATTTGGGGAAACAATTGTCAAAAATTGGTATTGAGCTGGCAAGTTGAATTGAAATTAGGGCATATTTTTAAAAATATTCCCCAACTATTTGAAAGTTAAAAATAATTATTTAGTAAAATAATTAAATAAATATTTAAAAAAAAGTAAAATTGCAAATGAGGTGATTGACTTATTGCATCTTAGAACAAATTTTACTGAAAGAGTTGAATTTTATATGGATTTCTTATCAAATTAAAGTCATATAAAATAGACTTTAATATTTAATACCATTGCATGACCGGTTTTCTTCAATAATTTTTTTTATTTATTTTTAATAATTTTTTATAATAGACAACTAAAACATGTTTAAAAATATTTTTATCATGCATGTATGAACAAACTCAAAGGAAAAAAAATGGAGCTTCTATTGGTTATTTTGCCAGACAACAATGGGGTCTCTATATGATATGATATGGTATGTCTAGTGTGAACTTGTTTTGTTTGAATTGCATTGAAATTGAAGATTTATTGACATTACAAGTTTGATCTTATTATAGATTTCTACCTGATGTGAAACGAATACGTGAAACTGACCGATCTCGATTTGGTAGCAGAATGCTTTCTTACTAAACATGTCTTCCAAGATTAGCAAGCAATACTAGGCTAATGTGGCATTGAAGACCAATGTTAAGGTGCAATATATATATATATATATATATATATATATATATATATATTTCTCTCTCTCTCTCTCTCTGTCTCTCTCCTTATGGACACCATTTTAAATTTCACATTTCACTCACTGAGTATGCCTGTATGCTTGAAACTGATGTATTTCATGTGTTAAACATGTTATTTTCAAACTTCATCGTTATTTTTTCCCTGATTTATTTGCCATTACTGCATCTAGCTTGGGCTTTCATAGTCTTCTCACATTATTTATCAAATTCATTCTTAATTCCATATCAGTTGAATTCATAATATTGCCAACTTTTTAAGTGTTCTGATTGAGGATACAGATGGGTGGTAGAAACACTGCATGTTCTTCTGGATGCTATCAGCTGTAGGATATCGGTAGTCTGTGACATACCAACCATAATATTTGGAGCAGATGGGGACTCACCTAGAGAATGGAGAAGACTCCGGTCCCTAAGGCCATCTGCTTCAGCCTTTTCAGATTTTGGTTTTTCAAAAATGTCACTTCAATTTTTTTAAGAGTCACGTTAAAAAAAAATAAAAAAAAATAAATTTGATGAAAAATTTGTGAAACCGTTATAGTGATGAAGATATTTAATTTATGTTACATTTTGTTTGTTTTTAAGATGTTATGAAATTGCGTGTATTAGAATTTCTATTAAATAATAGTTTTTTAAGATTAAAAATAATGAATTGGAAAAAGAAAATAAGCATTACAAAATCCTATGAGAATAAGAAAATGAATTTTTTTAAAAAAAGGTTTTACAAAATTGAATTTTTTAAATTTTTTTTAAAAAAATTACAGCAGTTAAGGTACTATTTGTGTCAGCCAAACAGTGCCTTAACGACCAAATGCATTGTTTGTGGTAGAAATTTAAAATTTAAAGCAAAAAAAATAAAAAATAAACAAATTTTAAGTTAAAAAAACAAAAATATAAGGTTTTTTAATTTATTTTTTAAGATTAAAAATAATGAATTGGAATAAGAAAAAAGGGATTACATAATCTTACGGGAATAAGAAAATGAATTTTTAATTTTAATTATTTTTTATTTAAAAATTTTTTATAAAAAAATTATAGCTGTTAAGGCACTATTTGTGTCGACAAAATAGTGTCTTAACGGCCAAATACATTATTTGTGGTAGAAATTTACAAATTTAAAGTAAAAAAAAAAAAAAAATTTATTTTTGACCCAAATAAATTTATTTTTGGACAAACAGTGCCTAAATAATATATCTTTTATTTAATGAATTTTATTTTATTATTATTATTTTTAAAAAATTAGGTCAAAATAACATATTTTTGTGTTTTTTTAAAAAAAAACCATTCTGCCAAATTGTGCCTTAAGATACTGTTCCTAACCGTTTTAAAAAAAAAACAAACCTTCATGCAAAATGTCACCGTTTTGCTAAAGGAAAAAACAAAAAATAAATTCCCCACTTAGGCTCGGGCTCGAGGTATTCCGCGAGCCAGCCCACGAGCTGATGTGGGCGCTGCCTATTTTCGCTACCCCGCTGCACTGCATTTGGGCCTCTAAATCGCCAAAAATGGACTTTGGCTAGGTGGCGTGCAGATTTTCTCAATAGCTGCTGTAAAATTCTTTAACTGATAATATCATGTTAGGATCCGCGTCATACCTCAACAAGCCTCCACAATCGTCAATTAAGTTTTAATCCAAAGAATATCAATCAAACTTTTCGAAAGTGGGATCAAGTTTTAATCCAAAGACTGTTTTTGGGTTTTTCTTAAAAAAAACCATTCAGCCAAATTGTGCCTTAAGGTACTGTTCCTAACCGTTTTTTTTTTTAAAAAAAAAAAATCCTTCATGCAAAACGTCACCGTTTTGCTAAAGGAGAAAACAAAAAAAATTCCCCGATCAAGTTTGGGCTCGAGGTATTCCTTGAGCCAGCCTGCGAACTTATGTGGACCCGGCCTATTTTCGCTAGCCGGTGCATTTGGGCCTCCAAATAGCCAAAAATGGACTTTGGCTAGGTGCTGCTGTAAAATTCTTTAACCGATAGAATTATGCTAGGATCCGCAACATACTACAACAAGCCTTTACAATCGATCCGGGTCATACCAAAAGAAGCCTCCACAACCGTTGATTACTTTTCAATCAAAGGCCGTGGATGATGGGCCACCAGAAAAAAAGTACTATATTTTTAGGGCAAATCATTTCAGCCTCCCCAATCGTTATCAACCCTGAACTTGCCCTCTCTCTCTCTCTCTCTCTGCAACTGGAAACCACAAAATCTACGAGAATCAGAAGTTCAAAACCGATATATTTCAGTTTATCTACCTGTCTTCAAGAATCAAAAGTTCAAAACCTATTACCTATATCAAAACCCATATCGGCATATAATTTCAGATTGTTCAAAAAATCTAAACCCAGATCTTTCAGTTTCCATCCCCCGCTGTTCGAGTTCGGGTTCGCCGTTCTTAAGCTTCAGCCGCTGGCCCGCTGTGTCTCAACTCTCAAGCTTGCCCCCCTCGGTCCTCTCTCTCTCTGCAACTGCTATCTTGTATGTATGGGTTTTGTTTTTATTTTTTATTTTTCTAAATCAACTAATCAAGGTCTGTAATTCTTGTTTTGCAAACTAAATCCTATTTGGATATTTTAATTTTTGAGTTTTTTTTTGATAAATTATGCTACAGAGAAAGTAGCGTAAAAAATAGAGAAAGTAACAAATCTTTCCTTTTTCTTTCGTTCACTTTTTAAAAAATGAAAAGTAAAATTATGTTGTTTAACATAATTTTCACTTTTACTTCACAATTTTAGGAATCCACATCGACAGTAAAAATTAAAAAATAAAAATGTTGGTAAACAGGCCCTATCAAAATTATTTTCATGAATGATGTTTTTGGGTTTGCAGATTTAATCCGATGGCTACCACATGCCTCGAGTTTTTGACAAGTCGCTCACATGACATTATTGACGCTGTTGTCAGGCTGAGGTAGATTTCCAGGTCCCTGGGGTGGGGGCAGATTCTGACCATCACAGTATTTGTGGGGCTTCATTACAGTCAATATCAATTAGGTAAGAACATATTAGAGTTGATGTTCTGGAAATCAATTTGTTATATACCTTTATTTCAATTTCTACCCTTGAATTTCCTATGTTGAAGCTAAAAATTTATGTACTTAACCAGATAATATCTCAGCATATTTAGTGTTTGATTAAATGTTTGTACGAAGGTTTGTCAGAAGAATAGATAAAATGCGCTCTTATACGAAGTTGTTACTTGGTTTCTCCATTGATTTTTTTTGAGATTGCCATCTTATCTATCTAGTAAGTCCCTCTACAGTGGCCACACCAAACTCCAAATTTAATTGAAATTATCAATCAATTTGTATCACTACTTGTACTAATCAATATTTGATAATATTTTGTACAAAAATATCAATATTATACTCATGATCTAAAAATTTGGACAACATTTCTCCAACTTTCATGTTATGCCAACTGAGCTTGAAAAGCCTAAAGTTGTGTTTGGAATCCCAAGATTTGATGCGAATTGAAATTTAAAACAAATTTGATTTGTTTAGAACCATGGGATTTTAAAGGAGAATGGAAAGTGATGAAATTTTGAATAAAAACTGCTAACATAAGAAAATTCGGAAAAATTTGAAGGAATTTGATTGCTAATAATTGACAAAATTATTATCGTACAATGGATAAGAACTGCTTTATGTATCATGTTCCACAAACTACTCTCTCTGACATATTTGACATGTTTTTATCCATAATGGTACAAAATTTGTTTATTTTTTTAAATTCCCTTTTACAAATTTTAATTTATTTTATAATGGAAATAAAATCCTATTTTAATTACAATTTAATTCCTTTTCCCCCCTCTAATTCCAAATTCCAAAAAAAAATTGTTAAAAATAAAGCCTAAAACTGATGATGTTCAAAACCAATCCAGACATGGCGAAACGTAGTCCATTTCAACCTAACAGTTAGATGTGAGCGTTGTTATTCATCTTGTATTGGGCTCTTGGGCTTGTCTCGCTCTTGGGCTTTGTTGTAGTGCTGTGTTGTTCTTCTAGAGCAGTTTGGGCTTTTGTCCTTTTTCTTTTTTGGGCCTGGCCCATCCCTTTCTATGGTTCTAAACCTATACAATTAGCTTGACTTTTCTAAGAAATAAAAATTATATGGGCAAATTTTTTTCCCCAAATTTTTTACTTCAAATGATTCATTCATTCGCATTATTAGTGCTTCAATATACAATATTTTGTTGAGCATAAATAGCCAATGGTGAGGATGACACTTAAATCTGTTGAAAATTTTCATTGGATGATTCAGAGAAGTGGAGCCCTAACATTACAATGGACACTACTTGGGTAGGAGTCAGCGATAGAAAATATATATAAAGTAGGAACGAACTCATGGAAAGCACTCTCATCATACCACCGGTCTATTGGTGGATATAATGGTGAGCACTCGCACTCACTCAATGGTGGTGAGTTGTTCAACAAGACAAAAATAAAGTGAGAGAGGATGATTCTTGTTCTCCAACAAGAAATTGATTAGCAATATTCCTAATATTCTAAATTAAGCCAGCTGATCAGACCATATGATCGGTAATACACAATTGATACTTAAGGTTGCACCCTTAGATTAACACCTAGTGTCTGTGTTCAATGAATCTGGCAGGCACAAAACAATTTCCAATTGAAATATTAATTTTCTCACTTGACTATCATTCCAGTAACTTACCAATTATTTTCCTAAAAGTGTTCATGCACAATATATATATATATATATATATTGTGTTGAAAGTTTAAACAAACACACACATACTAGTATTCTTTTTCGGTACTATTCTTGATCTTCAAAATCATTTATTCTCATATAAATAGGTGAATTTCTATCTAAAGTGTATAGTAAGAATTCGAGTTTTAAAAAGAGAAAAGTGAATGTACGAAGAAAAAAAAAAAAAACCCACCTAAATTTAGGTGTTTTATTTCTTTGGCATAGCCTCATATCTACATGTCCTAGAATAGACATATATATATATATATATTTTTTCCTTATAAAATTGGAGAACACATCTTAAAGTTATATACTGTATATTTCTTGTATAGTGGAGTTCAAAGAATATTTGTTTGTATAGTCAAAAAAAGAAAAAAAATGTAATACTTAATAATGAAGTATTCATAATCCATATATAAATGTACTCACATTCCACTTGCTTTTATTAAAAGTGGTATGACACAATTTTCAGTTAAAGACACTCAAAATTGTCCGATAAATTACACTTGAACTCCACTTTTTATAATATAAAATATAAGTAAAATACAATCTCTTTTTATTATTATTATTATTTTTAAATAGAAATATATAAAAAAGAATTTAATATTATTATTATTTATTTCTTGAAGGCAATTATGCATGAGAAGGTCTTAGGTACCCATATTAAGGTAAAGATTGATTCAAAATCTAAGAATTGTGTGGAGGACATAGAAAATGTGGGAGTTGGGTGACCGAAACGGGACCTACCCTACCCAATAGATGAGCAACTAAATTACATCATATATAATTCGTATAAATATATATATAGAAAGATTATGTGTGTGAGAGAGAGAGAGGGAGAGAGAGAGAGAGAGAGAGTAGATGAACAACCATGGGTAGAAAATGAGTGGAAACCATAACTTGTTTCTCGGAATGAACCCGGAAGAGAAATGGTAAACACGCTTGAACATGTCATGTTCAATTTTGAAGCTAGGAGGAAATATATCTAGAAACTGTGCACACTTTTAACGTTGACAGGGTCATAATTTGTCTTCGTAGCGGCTCTTTTCTTTGTTTAGCTAACATGTTGTCATGTGTACAATTAGGCCAATGCGCTTCTTTAAACATCTAATCATATTTCCATCACCAATTTACCTTTAGAACACCATCGTGGACCTTTAATTGTGTTGGTATTACCCATTAGGGAAGGCAAATTACGACATGATTCGATAAACGCATTTAGGTTGACCTTAAACGAATTGAGGTTATAAACAGGTTGACACAATTAACTCGTTTATTTAACCGTATCGGGTTAGAGTTGAAAATTTTAACCCGTGTAATCCATTTATGATCCGTTTAATTTAACATGTTATAATCGTGAATATGACATATGTAATATGTTATTTATTTAAATCCAATTACTATAAATAGTTAAGTCATTTTAACATAAATCTTATTTATTCCTTATGATTTTTTTTTTTTTTTATTTTGAATATTTGGGTTAATTGTGACAATTTTTTATTTATTTATTATTTGATTAAGTATTAAATGTCTCGTTTTAATAAACATGTCATTAAATGGGTTAACACGTTTATTACTTAATAAACGGGTTGGGTTAGTATTGAGAGTTCTTGACATGATTATTAAATGAGCTAATTTTGGATTTACCTATTTGGACTTAATCCGGACTTTTTTGGTTTTTAACCTATACAAGATGGTTAGAATCTTTTTTTTATCAGATGCTTTTTTTATTTATGACTCATCATCCTCCTAGAATTGAGGGAGTAGGTAGGAGTTAATTAGTAACCAAAGATAAGTATAATATCCTTATATTAACACGATTATGGCCTATAAACACAAATTGTCACCCCTACCCATTACATGAGTCAATTCCGTAACACTGTTGAATCCGCTTTCTAAAATATAGATCTTGAAATTTGGACCAGCTGTAGCAAATGACCGTAACATTTGAAGCAAACTCTATTAAACCACATGCACCGACTCTAGTTAGGTACATGCCGCCAAAGCGCAGAATTTTTATGTTTGACAAAGCATGGAATGGATAAACAGTCAAATCCTCCACTAGTATAGTAAAATATATATATATATATTTCTAATAATTCTACTATTTGTCACAAGTCACAATTATGTTTTTAATACGTTGTATTTTAATTGTAGATTGTATACATCATGCACATTACGCCAGATGTTTAGAATTTGGTAACACAATTCAGAGGTGGTTACCAAATTCTATTAAGATTGAGGGGATGGGCATATAATAAATTTATTTAATTGATGTAAAGTAAAGCATACACACGCACTATAAATGCGGGTGGGATTTGTAAAAGTTTGAACTAATCAAAATCATATTCAGAACAGAAACAACCTCTCTCTCTCTCTCTCTCTCTCTCTCTCTCAACAAACTCCTCCTTTCTCTCTTCTCTCCCTCCCACTTCCTTCAAAACCCTTCTATTTCTTTCTCTCTTCTTTCCCTTCCACTTCCTTCAAAACCCTTATATATACATACACACACAGATAAACAACTCCGCTCAAACATTCAGTCAATAATTAACAAACAATGTCACGCTCGATAGAAATCACGGTGATCTCCGGTGAAGGACTACGGGTGGATCCAAAACATCCGGTGAAGAAAAATGCTTTCGTCGTAGTCCGGACCGACTCCGGTAAGGCCCAAGCAACGAGGTTCGACACCAAAGGCTGAAGCTACCCTGTGTGGAATGAGAAGCTGGTAGTGGACATGCCGGTTCACTCGCGGTTCATGACGGTGGAGGTGCAATGCAAGACTAGTTCCGGCACCAAAGTGATTGGGATTGCGAGAATTCCGGCGACGGACTTCGTCGGAGGTTACATTCCGGATACCTACCTGCACTTCTTGAGTTACAGGTTGAGGGATGTCAGTGGTGAGCGGAACGGGATTATTAATCTGTCGGTGAGAATGAAGGTGCCGGAAAATTCGAGTTGTGCGGCTTCCTGCTCGCGGCCGTGGATGGCAGCTCCGGCAGCGGATAAGGTTTCTGGTGGAGCCGTGACAGGCATTCCAGTTTGGTATTATTGATACCAAATCTAGTGAAGTGTTGGCAGTATTTCAAAGTAGTTTTGTGTATTGGCATCTGGAAAAAGAGATGATCCAAAGGATTGGCGGTAGTACTGTAATTAGTAGCCTGTGGCAGAAATATCAAGGGTTCTCAACATACCTTTCTTTCAAAGCAAGCCAAGCAATGAAAATCACCTGTAAATTTTTATATCAATGCAATATGAGAACTAAACAAATTGATAAAATATTGATATATATTATACACTATATATCATTCTCTCTAATATCCAGGGCGAACTCGATCAATGATGTGTATCCCAAGTTGTTGCATACTGCATATCCACTCATTTATATTAAATTACTTTATCATTAGGGTACGATGTGGGACAAACGACCCTTGTTACATTTTCTCCTACCCAAACTCGCAATGCCCTTATTGCGGCTCGGGCCACTCTACCTATTTGGGGTAACTCACTCAGACGCCTTTCGGGCCGAACACTTGTTGTGGCACTAGATCAAGATAGACGCTTGCCCATTTATCTAAAAATTTAAATTGTTGAGTGGTGCTACATCCTTATCTATTTATATACAATCACTTTTTTATCTGAGTTCGATTTTAGACAAATAACCTTTGTTACAATAAGCTAGCCTTTAGACTTTGACCATGTTTGGAAATTGCTATTATTGGGTTATCCGTAGCTAGTGGTAAGGAAAGGAGACCCAAATTAATAGGAAGCACCAAGTAATACTAGTGGATAATACTCCCCAAAAAAAAAAAAAAAAATCTATAGGAGTTAGCCATTTTATCCCTCTATCGTACTAGATGTATTTGACATTATTAAACATATTTTTATATTTTTGTTTTTAAAAATCTTGTAACTAATTTTAAGTTACAAATATACTTCCATTCACATATCAACACACTGCTACAAAAACATTATTTGAAAGCAAGAAGAGATATCATTAGATAAAGAATCATTCTCTCTCATGGACTTGGAATTGGAACCGTAAATCAACGATTTCTTATTTTGGAATCAAAACAAAATCATAAAAGAACTTGATGGATGTATAATTTAAATACATGCGGATCGAAGAAAGATGGTTAAATTAACGCACTATCTCATTAGATTGAGATATGCTATACAGATTATGATAAAGATTAAGCTTATATATTACGGTAAGGATTAAGATGACGGTAATCTACGTTACATCGTGACCTAAGTCCTATAAATAAAGGGGGCTAATCGATGTTTGCGGGTATGCAATAAATACTAACTCATATTCTTGATTTCTTCAGAGAGATTATTTCGTACACTGACTTGTTCGTTGGAGTCTATTCCACCGGTAACACACCGGTACTTGTAGGATCACCAATCAGATCAGATTCAGATCGCGCAGAATCCATCATCAGCATAATTGAAATGAAATGACAATTTTAACGATTTTTTGTGCACCTCTAGCACTTAGGAACGCATAGACCATTGAGCAACTATATTACATTCCAAACTGGTAAAGAACACAAGAACAGCTATAGCCTATATTACATCAATATATAATTCATATATAAATATACACACACATTACACGAGCGCGGATTTATGGATTGAGAATAGATGAAGAAGCATGGGCAGAAAATGAGTGGAAACTGGCGACTTGTTTCTGGGAATGAACCCGGAAGAGAATAGTAAACAACGGCCATGTTATGGCATGCATGGAGAAGAAATATACTAGAAACTGCGCGCTTGTACCGTTGACAGGGTCATAAATCGTCGTCTTCGGAATCCATAAAGCCGCCAAAGCACAGAATATTCAAATAATTCTTCTATTTGTCAAAGCGCACAAAGTACGTTTTTAATTATAGATTAATTAGATGCAGCATACATCACGTACGTCCATTACGTCACGTATATGTTTATAGTTTGGTAACACGTTTGCTTCCATTAATCAAAGTTGGTGAACATTGGGATTTGTAAGAATAATTAACTACTAATTGTTTAAATACATCAAGTGTGATTATAACTCAACCTTTATCAAAATCTTTAATTCAAATATACAATAACACCAAATATTCATACGTTCATATTTCTAAAATCTCTTCTAGGTTACTTAATTCACGTGTTATGAATCAAATAAGTTTATGTAGAGGTATTAATAAATTTAAATAATCAAATTTGCTTGTTAGACACATATCCTCATGCTCAACACATGATTGACTGAACATAAATATGTATTTTATGGATTATGCATTGAATTTGTTCCATGTTATGTCCTAGTTAGACTAATATATATATATATATATTAAGAGTGAATTTGTTTCAATTTGATTTTTTTTTTTTAATATTACATAATTTACATATAGGTGTCAAAACTTTATTGGATCAGGTAGAAGGAATTTTCTACTTATGGGTTAGGAGGCCGGAAGTATACCCCCTCTGTGACTCAGTCCCATAATAAATTGGGTACTTTGGAAACTTTATTTTTAGCTCGAAGGAAGTATCGAGGAAAGTTGCACAAAGCATCTCCTTTCATCCTTCCAAAAATTAAAGAAAACAGAGAAAAACTTCTCTATAAATGTGAAATACCATTTTTTTCCCTTTAATTATTTACCAAATTAGTTTGTTAAACTTTACTAGTTTAGAATGATTATTTAATTTTTATTAAAGTTAAGGAGGTAACACTTGAATACAATTTCTTTATTTATCTTTATCAATCTTCTACTTTAATGCTTTATTTAATTAAAAGGAAAAAAAAGAAAGAAATCTATTGACATGTACAATTTTATTTTTAACTTGACTCAAATTCTAGACTTTATTTAGTTCGAAGGAAGAAACGAAGAAGGTAGGATGAAACATCCCTTTGACTCATTGTTTTCCTCCCTCCAAATTAGAGGCCAAAGAAACAGATTCTTTTCCACAAATGTAAAATGCCATTTGTACCTTTAATTATTTAACAAATTATTTTATTAAAATGAATGTTTAATTTTTAATAAAATTAATGATAAATTTATTTAATTAATGTATTTTAGTAACATTTATAATTATTACTCCAATAAATACAGAGCGTGCTTTATACGCAAAAGTGTTTGTTGGATTGGTAATACTTTGAAGTCAAATCAAAAGCAAACAGACCACACGCCAAACTTGAATTCATCTACTACGTATGCGAGACAGTAAATTTAGAAACAACCTCTCTCTTTCTCTCTCTACCTTCTCTCTCCTTCCTCTCTCCTTCTCTCTTCTTTCCCTCCAGTTTCCTTCAAAAACCCTTTATAAATACACACAGTCACACATTCAGATCCATATTCCATAACCCCCATAAACATTCAATCATCAATAAGGGCGCATATATAAACCTCTGATATATATCGACAATGTCACGCGCGATTGAAATCACGGTGATCTCTGGCGAGGGTCTTCGTACGGATCGAAAACGATCGGTGAAGAAAAACGCTTTCGTCGTGGTCCGAACGGACTCCGGTAAGGCCCAAATGTCGAGGCTCGATACCGAAGGCGGAAGCTACCCGGTGTGGAACGAGAAGCTGGCGGTGGACATGCCGGTTCACGCGCGGTTCGTGACGGTGGAGGTGCAATGCAGGACTGGTTCCGGCGACAAGTTGGTTGGGGCGGCGAGGATTCCGGCGACTGACTTCGTCGGAGGTTACACGCCGGACAATTACTTGCACTTTTTGAGTTATAGGTTGAGGGATGGTAATGGGGAGCGGAACGGGATTATTAATCTGTCGGTGAAAACGAATGGGCCAGAAAATTCCAGTTCCAGTTGTGCCGCTTCATGCTCGCGGCCGTGGATGGCGACTCCGGCGGCAGATAGGGTTTCCAGTGGAGTTGTGACCGGTGTTCCGGTTCCGTATTATTGATCCCAAATCTAGTTTACATTTGGACCGTCCTTTTCAGAAAAAAGTTGTATATAATCCTATTAACAAGGATAAGGTCAAGGTAAAAACCAGTAATCGAATGTTGATTTTAATAACGATTCAGTTTCAAAGCTAGCTAATATTCTTTATTTGTTTGGATTGTGTTTTGATTTTCTTTATTTGCTTGGATTATGTTTTGATGAGTTGACATAATAGAATAATATTTAGGTCCAAAATAATGAGATCTACGCTACTACATGGATTAATAATAAAAAAACATATCATTTTTAATTACTAAGATATATTCATTTATCAAATAAGAGATGGTAATTTAATTATAATTTATGATTTGGTAATTGATCCACATTAGCGTTTCAAAAATAGATATATATAAATAATATTTAAGTCTAGTGAGATCTATACCAAATTCACGGCTAATGTGCACCAATAATAAATAAACAATGTCATCTTTAATTATCAAATTAAATATGATGGGCAAATACCACTTACCAAATCAAAAATTTGATTATCAAAAAGTACCGGAATCTACATATTGATTTGTTTTTTTTTTTTTTTTTACAATTTTTTTGAACCATATGTGTCAAAAGGTGCATGTACGGTTCCTAAGGAGTACAATTTTGCCCTACTCAACCGACTTTATCGAGAAAGATTACCTTTTTTTAGGCCAAGACTCTGGAAAAGTGGTGATTCAATTCGATGCTGTTTAAGAAGGAGTATAGTATTTCAATATATATTTTGACTATGAGGCTTGACAATAAAAATAAAAATAATATGAGACATGAAGCAATTTTATTTATTTATTTATTTTTCATGAAGCAAATTTATGGATGTGACCTTTAGGTATTTGATATATATACATTTCAATTATTCAATAAAAATGGATGGGGCACTTTAGGTATGGTTTGGTGTTTGATCCAGAATTCAATTTTTAATTAAAACATTAGTAAGAATGCTATTAAGAGAGTAGTCCATGTCTTGGGATGAAGTCTCTGGGGGAGAGTTAAATTTTGATTCCCGGAAAGATTGTATTAATATATTACAAATACGAGGTTAGATTATATCACCATTCATATGGGGGGTGGTCACGATTTTCTACCATATGATCAAAAACATCTTTTAATTGAAATAA